GCACATAGCGACTTAATGAGACATCCTCAGATTGAGAAAATGAAACAACGAGAAAATTAACAAACAAGGAATTTGCCGGATTCCTCATGGAAATCAAAAGGAGATTTAGCAGATAAACAGCTAAAAATGACCTGTCTCTTAACTAAAAATGATTTTTTACTAAAAGAAAATTCATTTTTCTTTTGGTTTTTCATGTATTTGTGTTCCCATAATATAAGATCTGTGATAGACAAAATGATCACGATTTGCATTTGGAAAAAATGCATGCATGCAGAAAAATCTTTGGAAAGTTCACTTAGATGAAAAAAAACGCTTTCCTTTCCCTTTGATTTTCCCAGGTTCACTATGACTGTTGGCTACTATAGCCTGTCTTTCAATACAGCACAATTCCATGAAAACCCCTACATCAGTTGCTTCATCTCAGCAGTTGTAGAGATTCCAGCATACATTTCCAGCTGGATGGCTCTGCTATACCTTCCACGACGCCTGTCTGTAATCCTTACGTTGGTCTTTGGAGCTGTGCCACTCTACCTGATTCAACTTGTTCCAGACGGTAAAATTTCTTAAAAGCAAGCTGCAAGAATTCACATTAGAACAATTGATCAGTCATTTATAAGTTACTTAATGCTTAAAATGCCCATACTATAATTATTAGGTTCTTCCTTTTCCTTTGAGTGACACACACTACTGTGATTTATTTTTTATTTTATTTTATTTTTATTATTATGTGCTTTCAAGGAGCCAGACTTTCTTGTTGTTTTTTTTGTATTTTGTCTTGGTCTTCTAAATTTCAGTCCTTGTAATTGTCCATTTTAGGGAAAAATGTTGTTAAGCCACTGTTAAGCACTGATTTATGAATCATTCAAGCATAACAGGGCACCTAGCTCAAAGCATGAAACACTGTCATGTCTACCTACAACTCATAACAAAGAACCAGTTCTAAAGTATTGCTTTAGGCATTTGTTACTAGCAGCCTGCCATTGAAACACGTAATTTGTTCTCATTTCTTCAGTGGAATCTATACAAATGTCAAAGATAACAGTTTGACAAGGATGAAATTATATTTTTACAACAACAAGGTGCAAAGAGTGATGTTTGCTGAAAATGCAGCATGAACTGGGATGATGTGCAATTTATGGCTGTCAAAAAAAACATTCCTAAGGAGGGTAAACAAAAAGGCTGAGATATACCAAAATCCTCAAGAACTGGAACAAAAATCATTTTTAAAACTTTTGGTTTAAAAGTACCTATTATCTGAATGACAACAGCTTCAACTTTTAGCATGCCAATATAGTAAAAACATACCTATATAGAAAAACACGCAACAGCGCACATTCAGTCATGGATTGGCTTCCTTACAGCCTGGGCCCCAACATTATTGAAACGGTCTGGGATCGTCTTGACAGAGAACTGAACAAAAGGCAGGAAACAGACAAAGATGTGCTTTTGAATATCTGGAACCAAATATTGACTTTAAGCTTCTTTGTACTATACAAAGAAAGCTATATTCCCATATGGGTTTGCACATATTCTAATAAATCACTGCACCTGCTTCCCATCTTCCAGGCAACATCTAAAGAAAAAGGGGACCAAAAGTCCCAAAAAATTATTTTTGGAAAGCACTGTAGCTATTTTGCACATAAAAGTTCTTCCAGTTACAAATTATATATATATCATCAGTTATCTGCATGCAGTGACATTGTGTCTGCAGAGCAGCTGTTTGGCAACATTTTCTTCAAAGAACAAAAAATTCACTCAATCCAGATGGAACAGCTGCCTTAGAGCCTGCTAATATTTTCGCATTAGAGCCCCTTCTGCTAACTCTAAAATGTCTCAAAGCATTACAAAAGTTTAGGATTACTTTTTTTTAAGGAAAGGAACCCGGGAAAAAGGGAACCTCCCGTATCTTTAGTTCTAGCATTGTCCATGGCTATTGTTGTTTACATTAGCATTAGTACTGACTGGGGGCTGATTATTACAGTATCTATCGGCCCAGAGAATGCATGAATGCATTTCTTTCTGACTTTCTGCTGGAATCCACAGTCTCTTCTGGTTCATTGTGTATCAGAAAACTACAGGTGAGTGTTAAGGGCAGATAGCTTTCAGGAGACTATGCCAAAGTTGCCTTTGATGAGCCGACAAATCACGAGTCAGGCTTTTCTGGAGGTGGGGGCCTTAAAGGAACAGAGGTTGAAAAGAGGATGGAAGAAAAAAAACAAAGCACCAGTGTGCATTGTGCGAAATGTGATACATTATTTAACATTACAGGATGTGAACAAACAAAAATATGAACATGTAAATGCTCATAATAGAAGAATAGAATTTGTTTTTGTGATCTTTTCGTGTTACTAGGCACGAAGTGACTATATGATAGGTATATGCAGAATTACCATCTTATATAAAACAAGTTTCACAGACTTGATTAGAGTTTTGTCTCTTACTGTTTACTTATATCTACAAACTAAACAAATGTATTATTCTTTAGATCTATCGAATCTGGCTCTTGCACTGGAAATGCTGGGTAAGTATTCAATCACGACTGGTTCCTCCCTGATGTTCGCCTACACCGCAGAGCTTTACCCAACAGTGCTCAGAAACACAGCAACAGGGACAAGCAATACTGTTTCCAGAATTGGAAGTTGCATTGCCCCTTTATTGTTAAGTCTGGGTGAGTGCATTGATTAATATTCATTTAGCATTAGTACTAACTGTTTCTGACTGTCTGTTTTACCTCATTTGATTAAATTTCTATATTTTATAAATGTACACTCATAAAGGAGTGTTCTCTCATCCTAACTTCCCCCTCTGTGTCTTCAGGTATGTATTCTAAGTATCTACCTTATATTATATTGGGGACTCTGGCTGTTGTGGCTGCCTTTGCGGCTCTGTTCCTTCCAGAGAGTTTTAAGAAACCTCTTCCTGAAACTATTGAACAAATGCACAGACGAGAAAGGTAAGCTACTTTCATTCACAGTTTATTTTACTTTCTATGAAGTAATAAAAAAAAGTTCCCAGTTAAAGGCAATTGTAATTTTACATTCTTATACAGCAAGTTCTTTAAACATGGTACACAGTATGCAGAAAAGTATGTTGTCAGGTGAGTATCTGTCATTTAGGGAGTTAGTGAAAGTGACTGAGAAGAAGCATGTCCATGTAAATTGACATCTGATTAGATTTTAGAGCACCTGAAACTGAAACTGACATTTAGAGTCAGTTTCAGGGTGACTCTAAATGTATCATCATGTTCGTCCAACATTAAATGTTGGGTATGTAAATTTAAAAATTCATTGACTATCACTGACTATCATTGACCTGAACACGACAGGAAGGTTAAGATGTGAGATTGCTATTTATTTCCAAGTGAACTTTACTGCCACCAAGTGGCCAAATGTTGTTTTTTTGCAGATTGAATGAAAGCCCTTAGCCAACAGTACAAAAAATGAGTGTTCACATCTTATAAGTAATAATGATAATGAAGTTTATCGCAGAAAATAAAACTCGTGTTTGTCTTTCCTCTTTAAAACAGGATGAAGTGCCCATGTCTTACTAGAAATATGACGCCTGTACCCGTGGTACCACTGGACAGTCCACTATGATTATTTGTTTGTCCTGGTCTAGACAGATGTTGTTGTTGTTGTCTACAGTCTTTTATATTTAAATTTTGTTTGGCTTTGTTGTCTGTTAAATGTCTGAAAGCTGTATTATATATAAATAGTCTCATAACAAAGATAAACCTATAATTTTTTATTTTTTGTCTTATTTTGATTTTTTATTAAAACAATTTACAGTATTCTTTTACATTAATTTGCAAATGTTCATTTGATACTTAAAGTTACAAAAGCTTCATTAAACTACATGATCACATTCATCTTGTCTGTGCATTTATTTAAGGCATCAGCTAGATATGATAATCTTCATGTAAACAAACCAATAAATCCTCAATAGATGGTTAATAATAAATGCTGTCTTGCACAAGTTGGAAGTTTTCCCATATTTCTTGGAAACCTATTATGCAAGTGATGGTCAAAGATTATCTTTCAACATCTGAGCATTTTGTTATTGCCTTTGTAATCTATAACCCAGTGATGACTATAAAAAGTCAAAGTTGGAGTTGATACCTTTAAGAATGCACATAACATAAAAGCTCTGCAGAGTTTCAGGAGTCCTCACTTTCAGAGTAGCACTTACTCTTCAAAGCAAAAGTTGCATAAATATTATTTTTTTACTTTCACAATAGATCAAGAAGTGATTTAAAAGACAGAATTCCAAGAGTATGCAGGATTATGATGAAGTCACAGCATTTCTTGGTCATTGGGGACATTTCCAGCAAAGTGTTTTCTTCCTACTTTGTGCCAGCGTGTTGCCAAATGGATTTGGTTCTTTTTCCCTCATCTTCCTGACTGACATTCCCAGACACCACTGCCTGATTCCCGATATTAACTTGACAGAAGACTGGCATCAAGCTATCATTCCAATGGAGGTAAAGAAGTTTATTAATTAAAAGAAACAAGAAGAGCTGCATGTAATCTTTACAACACCAATACAGATAAGTTGTGTCAGTGTTGCAATCAAAGCGTCTAAATCTAATATTTTCTTCAAAGGTATTTAATGTATTTAGTCTGAAATGTCAGTATGAAATTTGAGTTGTGAATTACAAGCCAAAGAAAAACTTCACATAAAGCAAAAATTTAGCTGAAAGAGAAATAGTATTTTCACTCTGCAGCTTTGATACACAAACTGGAACATCATTATAAAAGTCTGGCTTATGCAAGATAACTTCTCAACAATGCGTTCTGTAACTAAGTCGTTTTGACAGATGAGTCATGATGACAAAATTTATATTTGAAAATATGAATCATTTAAGGTGGGGCGAAATCTGCTTTGGATTTGTATGACAGTCAGTGGCAAAGGAAATGCTGCGTGGTTGGAAGGAATGATAGTTCCCACTAAAAGTCTGTGAATGTCACTCAGTCAGTCAGCTAGCACAGCATAAACAAAAGCTACATTTGAAATAACTTCCTTCTTTAGAAACAGAGTTAGTCAAATGCAATACCAACACTTTAAAAGGCATATACAGTAACACACAATTATATATTATTTATATTCACATTCAGACCAATTTAGTGGGCAGGACAGTTAAAGCGAATTCACAATTACTTGTAATTACCTACTTTTTTTCTACATACATACAACATGTTGTATGTTTGAATTATATGTTAATGTTGGAGGATGTGCAAATGTTTAAATGTGTGTGTCTGATATTTACTTTAATGATCATATTTGCAGCTTTGTAGATGTATTTTCTTTGCATTCTGCAAAGCCAGCTTTAGCTTTAAGCTAAATAAAGTAGAAGGGTCATATTTTATGATAGGTTATATATTTATATGTGTGAAGAGTTATTATGAGCACTAAGTGGTCAAAATACTGTCATGGTTTGGGGTTTTATGTTTTTGGACTTTGCATTCTTGTTTATTTTTAACCATTCTTTATTTTAGCTTTAGTTTTGAGTTGTGTTTTTCAGAGTTCTTACAGGTTTTAAGATTATCTTTACAATAGCAATGCCTCTGTGTCTAATCTTTAGTTGTTGAAACTTTGTGATCTTGTTTCTGTTGGTTTTTTGAATTGTATTGTGATCGCTTGTGTTTTACTTTGATCTGGCCTTTCCAGTGTACCCCTGTCTCTTTTAGGTAATTCCCCCCTAGGTTACTTCCTGTTTTATTTTGAAAGTATTTTGTTTCTTGTTTAGTTTCGTTTTTTTCCCTCTTTTGTCAATAACCTAATTCTTCTGTTATCCAGTTCTACATTTCAGTATTTGTTTGTTTGTTTGTTTCTGTTTGCTTGCTTTTTTGTTTGTTTTGTTGTTGTTGCAGTTACTTTAGATTCGTTTTTCTTTATCTTTCTAGAGCATGCTATTTCCTTTATAGTATGGTATTCAACACAATTTCACAGAAAAGTAAATAAATTAATGCATTTATTTACCTGCAAGATGGTGAATGGGAAGCTGGAGCTGAGCAGATGTCGGAGATACAGGCTGGATTTGGTCAAAAATCTTTCAACTCAGGGATATATTCCAGGCCAGGATGTTAATCTCACTAACCTGGAGCAAGAGGGGTGTGTTGATGGGTGGAGCTATAGCAAAGATATCTATAAATCCACTATAGTCTCTGAGGTAAGTGTGTAATACAGAAGATATTTGAACAATGATTGACAATTGAAAATTAAGATCTGACCAAGCATAAACAGACCCTGAAGTCTTTGTATTGTTCTATTCAATTTTTTATGCCTGGACGTTTCAGTTTGACCTGGTGTGCAGTGAAGAGTGGAAGCAGCCATTTACTTCCACAGTTTACTTCATGGGAGTTTTAGTTGGATCCTTTTTGTCAGGACAGCTGTCAGATAGGTAAAGTTAAAAAATAATACTTGTTTCCCCCTTTTAAGCAGCACAAACTGTATATTGATCTTTTAAATTCTTTCTAGCTATCATTACATATTAATACTTTATAATATGGCTTCCTGTAATTAGACTTAATTTCAATTTATTTTATTTGAAATTAAAATGTACTTATATTTACCTACAAATACTTAAAGTTAGGTACACTAGAATAAGTACAAGTACAATTCTTACAAACAGTAATAAGTAATGTAATTTTACAAAATACAATTTAATTTTGTGGAAAAACAAACAATATATATTTATATTATACTTATACTTATTTCTTTTTTCCTGCAAAACCACAACTTGTTATCGCCTTATTCTAGTGTACATACATTTAAGACTGTAAGTAAATGTAATTCTTAAAAAATACAATTGCTCTGTTTAGCATGTAATAAAAGTCCTCATTACAATTTTACTTTATATATATATATTGTATATATTATATATATATTGCTATTACCACTAAACACACAAGTATGCTTTATAATAAATACTTCATAATAAATACTTTATGATAAGCAGTATGTCTTATTTATTTTTTTTACACTTATTTCATCTTTTGACTTTTCGCTGTAGATTTGGAAGAAAGCCAGTTCTGTTTCTGACCATGGCACTTCAGACTCTTTTCACTTTTGTTCAAATCTTTTCATCATCTTGGACAGTGTTCTGCATCCTCCTGTTCATCAGCGGTTTGGGACAAATCTCTAACTATGTTTCTGCTTTTGTGCTCGGTAAAGGCATATTTTTGGTTCTTTGGTTACTGCAACAATGTGTCCAATAACCTCCAATACGTCAAAACTTCTGTTGGCTTTCTCTGTGTGTGCAGGCACTGAAATCTTCACTGGCAATGTGCGGGTCCTTTTCTCATCCATGGGTGTATGTCTTGCCTTTGCCTTTGGCTTTATGATGCTTCCTCTCTTTGCCTACTTTTTAAGGGATTGGACATCTCTCCTGTTAGGTATATCTCTCCCTGGCCTTCTCTACCTTCCTCTTTGGTGGTAGGTTGTTCTTGAAAAAAATAAAGCTGCATTTGTGTTAAGTTTATCTTCTCATGAATTCATTATACAGGGTGGGCCATTTATATGGATACACCGTAATAACATGGGAATGGTTGGTGATATTAAAGTCCTGTTTGTGGCACATTAGTA